TCAGGCTATGTATGACTGTTAAAATGTAATGTAAATCACAAGGGGATCAATCTGTATCAGGCTATGTAGTGACTGTTATACAGATTGATCCCCTTGTGATTTACATGAGTGGATGCTGAAATGTAACCATGTGTATTTTCTTAAACAACATTCTTTGACATATTTTTTGATCACATGAATTTTGAGATTATAAAAGTAATAAAAAGTTTAAGAATTTATTAGGTTGTAGACTTTCACTGACATTTTAAAGCGATTATGTTGTCAAATCATGGGAATGAAGTACAAAAAATGTTTCAGTTACTAAAATAAAAACTTTAAGTTTGATAAAAACAAATTCATTCTGTCTGTGTTAACGTTTGTACAAAGTTACACATTTTTCTTATTTCAGGTGCTGGTCAAGGTGAGCAGATCAAGGTTACACATAAAAGAAGTACTTACCTTAATCAACAGGATGAAAAACATTTAACTTTGTGTTCTTAAATGCATCATTTTAAGAGCCATTTTGAAGTTAGGTCAGAAAAGTCCAGAAGTGAACTAATAGCATTTGAATGATTGCTTTTTTTTTTCAACAGAAATAATAATTCTAGTTTGTAGGAAAAATTTTTTTTTCAGATTTTGTTTATTTATTTTTGTTTTACACTATTTGATTCACTTTTGTGAACTGTTAATTTCCTATAACTGTAGTCTGGTTATTACAATACTTGTGGCTAGCAGAATGAACAATGTAGATTGATATCATCAATTTTATTTTGTACGATTCAAAATGTTTGCTTGAAAGTTTTTGATTCAGATGTGTTACATAGATCAGTTATATGCCAGTTGTCATTTCTGACTCTTTTTTTTTTTCCCCTCAGATAATTTTTTTTGTTTCTTAAATTTTTGCGTGGTTATACGTTTTTTGTGACATTCAGTTATTTTTGTACTTTGGAACATGAGCTATTAGAGTATTGTGTAACATTTCTGATGATGAAAGTAGCAGCTAAATAGGTAAGTTCGAGACATGAAAATAAAATCTGTTAATAAAGTTTAGGAAATTGACACTGTTGCATTAGTTTTTTTTAATGCTTTTTTAGATCTGCTGAAAGTTCCTCTTGATAAAAAAAATTGACATTTTGTATCAATAGTCTACATGATAAATATGAATTGTCTATTATATTAGGTTAAAAAAACCTAATTTGGCAGAAGTTAATTCTATGGGCATTCCTCTCTAAAACCACAAAATTAAACTTATGCTGTTGTGTATTTAGGTCTTCAGTAAAGGTGTGTTAGCTAGACTTCACAAATATATCCAAAGAAAGTTTGACTTTTGGCCTTTATTTCAAGTTCCATATTTTCTGTTTTTAACTATATTGGTTTATATTTATACCATGTTAAAGACCCTCCAAACATAATTCCAAATATTTTATGACATCAGTGTTTGGTGTGAACTTTTCATGCTTCTAAGCTATGAAATGGTGACAGTACAAGTAAATGAGAATAAAGAGCGAAAAATGAAAACCAGTAGTGTGGTATACTTAAAGAACTATATTTAACTAATTCTTATTCCCCCACTGCAAAACATTGTATAGTGGGGCATATCACTTTGCCCCTGTCCATCCATTCCAGTCTTGTGGAGAGACTATCTCGGGACCAGATGGGTAGATTTTGACCAAATTTGTACAGCGGGTACTACATAGAAAGTTCTAAATCTGATTAATTTTTGAAGGTCATGGGTGTTTCATAAATACAACTTGCACTTATGTTTTACGTTTCAGTAAACATTGTCACTGATTACTTGCATGATCTGGCAGTGACAGCTGAACATAAATCTGAACATTTTGAGTATATTACAGTGTTTCTTTTCATTCTAGTTGTCTTTTTGTGTTCCTGTTTATACACTATATTTACTTTTCAGATGTCGGTCGAAGTTGTATCCTTCTCTCGATTGGTGGAAAGAACATTATGTTAGACTGTGGTATGCATATGGGGTACAATGACGAGGTAGGCTTAGGTCGTGATTTGAGTGCTTAGTAATTTGTTCCATCCCTCAATCTCAAGGGATAGATATCTAAATGAGTTTTTAAATATATTTTGAGGAAAAATAGAGGGTTTCTCGATTGTCACAATATAGGTCTGTGATATTTAAAGTACTTCATATTGTTATTGATGCTACAATATGGACTCTTAATAATGTTTCTATTGCACAAGCACATGTTAGTGTAACCAGTAAAAATTAATTTTGTATCTTGTACACTGGCACCATTGAAAATTTGTATTGAGCCTCATCTTTAGGGAAGGATTTCTGGAATGAAACTTTTAATTTTTGGATAACTGAGTCGCACTGAAGATGTGTAACAGAAGAGCTGGTAGTCAGAATTATGATGTAAATTGTGGTTTAATTTTTTAGTTAATACCATAGATGTAGAATACAATGATGGGTAATCAGAGATATGATGTAAGTTATGGCTGAAAAATGATTTAATGTACAACTGTAACCTATTTGAAAACAGGCATATGGATTGCTAGAGAAAGATTTGTATTTTCAAAATCTAATCATTGTATATGTTTTTAACTTATACTTTCAAGAAGCTCCTTGTGATTTGCCGTTAAAACTTTGGTTTTTACCTGCACTGGTGCACGAACTGAATTGGCCATAATTTTGTATTTTTACAATTAAAAAAGTGTTAATTGAATTTTAAGTTTAATAGTTTTTACCCTTGCTTTTAGTTGTGGGAATAACATTTAAAAATTAAATAAGTATAATTACTAATATGTTTACTGTTTGAGTAACAAGTATTTTGAACAAAGAAGAAGAAATGTGAAGTAGGTAGTATGTCCCTTCACACGTGTAGTATGTCCCTTCACACGTGTAGTATGTCCCTTCGCAAGTGTAGTATGTCCCTTCACATGCGTAGTATGTCCCTTTGCATGTGTAGTATGTCCCTTTGCATGTGTAGTATGTCCCTTCGCATGTGTAGTATGCCCCTTCACATGTGTAGTATGTCCCTTCACATGTTTTATATAAGACTTTTGTTAGATTGAATTGTTATCAGGAACTGTTTGAATTGTAAGTTTTTTATTTGAAATTTTATATGTGTAGCTAATGTATAATCTTTCTGTTTTTAGCGAAGATTTCCAGATTTTTCATTTATCACTCAGGAAGGACCTTTGAATGATCATTTAGACTGTGTAATTATCAGGTAAGGGTGGGAATAAGACTTTGAAACAATGGGTTATTTCAGAATTAAGCAAATAATTAATTCTTTGCTGAGATAATTCAGATTCTCTTGATGTGCATAAGTAGCTAAAACAAAGTTCCACTGGTTAAAATACGGACAACGAGGAACCATTTGGTCCTTCAAGGCTGCCACTGCACATCCACCTTCGAGAAAAAGATGAGTAAAAATTAATTCCACTTTTTTAATTTGGAATTGGAAGGTAATGAAGATTATTACATTACATGTTATTAAAAGACTGCTGTGAGCTTTAAAAATTAATATTTATAATAACGTTTAAGATGTTAGAAAAACACGTAGGTTCAAGAAGTCTTGATAGAAATTAATAATAACCCTATAACCCGAGCGATTTCGAAATGTGGACCTTTCTTCTTCAGGTGCAAACTGAACTGAACAGTACATAGTCACATCAAAACAAACTTTAGTACAATCTGCAGTGAGAACACTGGGCTCATTAAGTTGACCCTCAAAAATTCTTCTCCATGTCTATGTGTTTAAAGTTTTGTTTTTGTTTTCTTTTGTATGACCAGTATGAAAACTATGCTGTCAAATCATTGAATTTTTTTAACTTCATGAATATAATACCGAAATAAAAATATTTAAATTGTAAAGCACAAATTATATATATATGTAAGTTAAATTTGTTGGTAGTATGTATTGTGTTGAGAGATAGGTATGGCCTGGTGATTAGAATGCTGGAATATGAATCCAAAGATCCATGGTTTAGATCCCATCTCTACTACTATGCTCATTATTATCACACAATAGACTGTATCTGTTGCGGAAAGCAACGGAAAGACACCTCAACTGTTATTTCTTATGACAGACTTTATGAATAGCTGTGTCTTATTCATTTGTTTTTATATTTTAAAGAGAGGTTATGAGAAGGTTGTTTACGTGAGTATTTTAAAGAGAGGTTATGAGAAGGTTGTTTATGCGAGTATTTTAAAGAGAGGTTATGAGAAGGTTGTTTATGCGAGTATTTTAAAGGGATGTTATGAGAAGGTTGTTTATGCGAGTATTTTGAAGGGAGGTTATGAGAAGGTTGTTTATGCGAGTATTTTAAAGAGAGGTTATGAGAAGGTTGTTTATGCGAGTATTTTGAAGGGAGGTTATGAGAAGGTTGTTTACGTGAGTATTTTAAAGGGAGGTTATGAGAAGGTTGTTTATGCGAGTATTTTAAAGAGAGGTTATGAGAAGGTTGTTTATGCTAGTATTTTAAAGGTAGGTTATGAGAAGGTTGTTTACGTGAGTATTTTAAAGGGAGGTTATGAGAAGGTTGTTTATGCGAGTATTTTAAAGAGGTTATGAGAAGGTTGTTTATGCGAGTATTTTAAAGGTTGGTTATGAGAAGGTTGTTTATGCTAGTATTTTAAAGGGAGGTTATGAGAAGGTTGTTTATGCAAGTATTTTAAAGGGAGGTTATGAGAAGGTTGTTTATGCAAGTATTTTAAAGGTAGGTTATGAGAAGGTTGTTTATGCGAGTATTTTAAAGAGAATTAAACATAGAATTAGTTTGTTGAATTGGCTTTAAGATCTTCTACTTGTAAATAGTGTGAAATTATATTCCTTTACCTTCTGATCTGTATAATTATTTTTATTTATTTATTTTTAGCCATTTTCATCTGGACCACTGTGGTGCTTTACCGTTTATGAGTGAAATGATTGGCTACTCTGGTCCAGTGTACATGACTCATCCAACAAAAGCGATTTGCCCAATTTTACTTGTAAGTTTTATAAATAGTTTTTTTTTTGAGATTCTTGCATAATACAAATGTGAATCATTTTCACTCTTCTCACTGAGATTGGCCCGGCATGGCTAGGTGGTTAGGGCGCTCGACTCGCAATCTGCGGGTTACAGGTTCGAATCCCCGTCCCACCAAACATTCTCGCCCTTTCAGCCTTGGGGGCATTATAATGTGATGGTCAATCCCACTATTCGTTGGTAAAATAGTAGCCCAAGAGTTGGCAGTGTGTAATGATGACTAGCTACCTTCCCTCTAGTATTTCACTGCTAAATTAGAGACGGCTAGCGCAGATAGCCCTCGTGTAGCTTTGCGCGAAATTCAAAAAACAAACAAACTTCTCACTGAGTGTGGCTTAGTGGTTAGTGTGTGTGGCTTGGCATGAAAATTCTGAAACAAACAAATACTTTGGATGGTAAAGATGCCTGAATGTTATACAGATTTTTTTTTAACGTATCTGAAATTTATTTAATCTTTACAAAACATAGTTTATCTAATTGATCTTCATTTATTTTTTGCTGTTTGAACATTAAACATCAACCCCTCTAGCAACATTTTGACACAAGCCTAATATCAGTAAAATCTGTAGTGTATCAAGTAAATGAAAAAAACGTATAATTAATTAATTTTTGCAGAGAAATTTAAGTGTTAGAAACCCATTTTATTTGTTTTTTGCAGGAAACTGAGTATGCATGTAAACTCATGTACATATATCTACAACCATGTAAACCCATGTACATGTACCTACAAGCATGTAAACCCATGTACATATATCTACAAGCATGTAAACCTATGTACATGTTCCTACAAGCATGTTAACCCATATATCTACAAGCATGTAAATTCATCTACATATATCTACAAGCATGTTAACCCATGTACATATATCTACAACCATGTAAACCCATGTACATGTACCTACAAGCATGTAAACCTATGTACATGTTCCTACAAGCATGTTAACCCATGTACATATATCTTCAAGCATGTAAACCCATGTACATATATCTACAAGCATGTAAATTCATCTACATATATCTACAAGCATGTTAACCCATGTACATGTATCTACAAGCATGTTAACCCATGTACATGTACCTACAAGCATGTTAACCCATGTACATGTACCTACAAGCATGTTAACCCATGTACATGTACCTACAAGCATGTTAACCCATTTACATGTAACTACAAACATGTTAACCCATGTACATGTATCTTCAAGAATGTAAACCCATTTACATGTATCTACAAGCATGTTAACCCATGTACATATATCTAAAAGCATGTAAACCCATTTACATATATCTACAAGCATGTAAACCCATGTATATATATCTACAAGTATGTTCTGAGTTATGGCAGTACATTCTAATCAAGTTTTGTAGAATTAAAGGTCCGAGTTCAAGTAAACATGTAATGTACATTCATTAAGAGTCCTAGGTTAGATTCTTTTTTGTATTGTTACACTAAATCGTATGTAGTTCAGTATTTTAGAATACTACTTGATGTACCTATTTAACACACAGGAAGACATAAAGACCCTGAGGGTTGGGGATGATCTAGAGAGGACCAGGTTTGGTAACAGCCAGTCAGGTGGTTCATCAGTTAAAAGTGTATATACACACATAGACTTTTGCCAAATAATGGTTTAAATGTGTGTAAAGATGTAATTTTCATTCCTGTGTTTATACCTTTGATTAACACATGCTGGAATATTTCCCGAGGCTCTGTTTGTTGTTTACTAGACTTTCTGCTGGTCTTTTTTGACATTTTTGTTTTACGAGAGGAAACTTCTGTGTTGCCTTGGTAACAGATGTAATTTTTCCTTTTATTGTTCTTATAATTCTAGACAATTGTTCAGTAAATGTCTTAGCAAAGCTATAATCACTTTAATGATAATTGTTTAGGTTGTAGTAATGAAACTAATATATTAGTGTAAATCCAAGTGGAGTGTAATGAATAGATGTTTTAACATTTCTTTGAACAGGAAGATTACAGAAAGATTACTGTAGATAAGAAAGGAGAAACAAATTTTTTTACATCTCAGATGATTAAAGATTGCATGAAGAAAGTTGTGGCAGTAAACCTTCATCAAACAGTACAGGTAGAAATTATCTTTTTTCTGATTACGATTAAATATGTAGTAACTAAGAAAAGGTCATGATTTGGAACATTTTGAGGATTAACTCTCTTAACATGGGCTTGGTCAATTTGACCGACCATGTAACCTCTTTGTAGTCGTATAAAGTCTTTATAGATTTAATACTTCTAACTTTCAATATAATGTGTATTTCTTCACAAAATTTGGAAGTCTTTCAGTTCATATTATAAATGTTTCACATACAAAAAATCATATTTTTTAGTGAAGTATTTTTAAGTATTTTTAATAAAATAAAATAAAGATTTGTCCATGAATATATTGAGTATTTGTTTTGAATAGTTCGTATGCAAAGTAATTTTCATGTTAAAAATAAAAATACTTTTCCTCGTCTCAAAAATGTCAAATTTCCTTTGTGTAATCCCTAAAACCTCCTAAATGCATTTCAAACGTTTTTTTAAGTAAAAATTTGTAGTTTATTTGTTATTTTCTCTACCCTATCTCAAAACAGGATCGTAAAAACCACCAAAAAAAATCGAAATAAACCTAAATTACCTTCTTTTTTTTTTGTAGAATGACTTCAAATTGTAACATGAAACTACATTCGTTTATTCTAACTAGCTCTAAGTTCATAACAGTATAAATATATTTATAATTAAATTTTATTGTTTTATTGCCCTTTGGACTGTGTCTAACTACTATCTGTGCCATTATAAGTTGTTAATCACTCAGGAACGTACAGCTCATGTTACTCTCTCGAGTTACATTACTCACAAGCTGCTCGCGTGCATGCCTTGTGAACCATTTTAGTTATATTATTATTATTATTAATTATTTTACCTAATGTAGTCTTAAATAACTTAAAAAGATCTGTATTTTTAGATTTTAGTTACTTTTATAATAATAAATAAAGAATAAATATGAAAAATAAGAAATAAAGTACTTACCCAATCTTCTTTATTCTTGCTCTCGGGTTTTTGAAGAGAGTTATCCCTAATTTTTTATACTATAGATGGTAATACACTTAATAATTTTTATTTAATTAAGTAATGCACCAAAGAATATAGACTAATAACATGCAAAAGTAGGCAAATTCACTTACCTCTCAAAATTTTCCTGACTTTCTAACTATGCAACAAGAGCCGTTACAAATTCATCCAAGCTAGTTGTTAACTTTCCCACGAAAACATTGCTCCTAATCTGAATGAAATTAACATTTAATGGTTCAGAACATAACATTATACAATACATCATTTGACAGATGAAAACCTTGACTTTCTATTGGTTATTGGTAATATATAATGAAACGTAAGAGAGAACTATCAAAGAATTTTGAAAGAGAGGGTGTGGCAGGAGGGGTCTGATTTTCTAATCGATAGCTCTGTAACCATACAAATTTGAAGGCTATAAAAATTATGGTTTGTTTGAGGAATAATGATTTTATTGTACGTTTAATTTCATACTTTTTCAAGGGATGGTGGATAAAAATATGGATGATGACATGCTAAGAGAAAATGTGTCATGTGGGTCACACTAGTTGAAATTCAGGATTTTTTATAAATATTGATTTGCAGAATTAAGAACTTAAACTTATATACTATTAAAATATGGATTATTAGCTAAGATTTCTGCTATTCTAATTGGTATAACATAAACAAAAAATAGTTTAATAAAATTTTGAATGTAAGACACTAAAACTTTGTGTCATGCGCAGTAAATGGTACCTGGGCCGCTAGGGTTAAAAGAGAAACATTGTACATTTGTGAAAAATATATCTGTGAAAAAAAACTTGGTTATAATTTTTACATTTTTCTCTTAGTGCTTTACAGTATTGTATATCTATCCAGAAATAAACTACGGGTGCTTTTAGTTTCTTGGAGTTTACAGTGTTTAATAACAGTCTTACCAACCTTCTCAAACACATTCAAAAGGTTTGGCTTAAAAGCTAAATGAAAAATGCTTTTTTCTTACTAAACTAAAACAATCTTTTGTGACACCTCTTACAGCACAAAGTAAACTAATATATGTTTTTTAAATTTCTTATCTATAAATCATGCTTTTTAAATCAAATGTAAAGTCATCAAGGTGCAGTTAATATAAAATGTCTTCAGATTGTATGTGCTTCCTTTGTGAGATTATCAACTTGAATAACTCCAGTTGTCCAGAAATTATATAATAAACTGAAACGAGGTAATAACAGATTTGAAGTTTCAAGTGATTCTCCTATCAACAACAAATGATGTTGAGCTTCTGTAAGAGTTCTGTGGGATGGTACACTGAATTATAATTTTTTTGGTCACTGAAAATACCTAAACAATTAAATGTGAGAGATTTATTTACTTCTAAAATACATAGAAAAATCTATTGCTACAATAACTTTCCATGTTTGGTTTTATGATTAATAATCAGATTAATAATTTCTAAACTTTGAGCAAGAAATTCAAAATTTGAGTATTGTCACAAGAGCTTTTAGAGATGGATTGGAGAATAATAACATTTGTGTTAATAACTTCCAAGATATGAACAATAAATAAATAAAACTTTGATAGTCAAAGTTTGTTAAATCTAGATTACTTAAATGAAATATGTTTGAAGTAGAAACCAGTAAATAAGTACGTTTTGTTTTATATATTTGTGTCCTAGGTTGATGATGAATTAGAAGTGAAAGCTTATTATGCTGGACATGTTTTAGGAGCTGCCATGTTCCACATCAAAGTTGGATCACAGTCCGTTGTTTATACAGTAAGAAATAATTGGATAATATCACTTAACTTTTGGTTTGTTTATTCTTATATCAACCTGTTCAACATTTCATTTATCTAGCTTGATAAAGAGAAATTTTACATTTAATTTATCTAGCTTGGTCAGGAGGATTGTTACATTTCATTTATCTAGCTTGGTCAGGAGGATTGTTACATTTCATTTATCTAGCTTGGTCAGGAGGATTGTTACATTTCATTTATCTAGCTTGGTCAGGAGGTTTTTTACATTTCATTTATCTAGCTTGGTCAGGAGGTTTTTTACATTTCATTTATCTAGCTTGGTCAGAAGGATTGTTACATTTCATTTATCTAGCTTGGTCAGGAGGAATCTTACATTTCATTTATATAGCTTGATAAGGAGGAATCTTACATTTCATTTATATAGCTTGATAAGGAGGAATCTTACATTTCATTTATATAGCTTGATAAGGAGTATTGTTACATTTCATTTATCTAGCTTGATAA